CCCGGTCACACTGGCGCTGCGGACGGCACCGCGCCACTGCGGTTCCTAATGAGTAGCCGTGGACTGATGGCTCCACGGGCTTCCTGGAATTTCTCCTATTAGCCCGTAGTGTAGTATACCCGCCGCCGCCGCGGTACCCGCGATACGCGCTCCCCCGCCTCAGGACTAATTGCGTACCTCTATGTGGCACGGGCCGCTCGCGGCGGGGCGGGCGGTCTGCAAGGGGTGATCCCCTCCCCCCCCCCTTCCCTCTCTCCCGTCTCCCCCAATGCGCGCGAGCTTTGAATATGGTTAACGACCACCACCACCACCATCAGCAGCAGCAGACAACCGACACCCAGGGAAGCACAGTGAAAAGCGGCCATAAGGGAAAATTTTGCAGGCTGATAAATGTCGTAAATTTTAAACTCAAATTGCTAAGTATCGAACTCAAAATGTCGAACAAAAATAACAATATGAATTAACTTTGTTTGTAGCCATTACAAACGCGTTAGTAGACTTGCAAGTGCATACGTAAATTTATTATTACCATGTTCACGCTCGTAAATGTACAATATTTAGTTTGTAAAATGAAATGTTTTAAAAACATTGTGAACTGACGAAATGTGTTTCACGGTGAGAGGAAGTTTTACAATATGGAAGTGCTTACCACATACGACGCATACATACACGCGAGTTGGTCTCGGAGCGCGAGTTCTCTCTGTTTTGCTTTTGGTCGCGTAATTTTACTCCTTTAAAAGAATCCGCGTAGGGAGGGGGGTAGGGCGGGCGCCGTGTGAATGCGCTGCTATGGCGCCTCTGGCTTCTGGCACCGCCCCGCCCGGTAGCCTCGGTGCTTATGAGTAGAAAACATAAAACGACTCATAAATAATTCGACAAAAAAAAGACGCGTAATAACGTTTTAATCTGCGAGAAGCGCGCGTGAGAATAGAGGCCATGTCGTATTAACCTCTGTGGGCTTGGGCGGGGCTCTCGGTATACTGCTAGCCGACTCTGGACGGCCGGGGCGTGAAATCGAATCACTCGTGTTGCTCGTAATAAGCCTGTTCATCTGGAACCCGGGACTGGTGGTCCGGAGCGGTGCGCCGCGGCCACGCGACGCCACGCCCGCCTTTGATAACAGCAATCAGGGAGGGACAGGGGGAAAATCCCCTTCGTCCCCCTTCTCGCCGAAAGCACGTAATTGTAGCTATCGAGCATGCGCGTCTTACGGCTCGCTAACAAGACACCGCCAGGAGGACTTCCCTCGGGGAATTTGATCCGCAAGTCAGGAGGACGCGGAGCTCTGCGGCGACTGCTTTTAATTTCGTTAGCGCTTGTTTGAGATTTTTGTCTTTTTTTAGCAGATGATACCTTAAAAACCTTCCGACTAAACATAAAGAGTATTTTTTCCTCGCTCTCCCGTGCATGCCCTGCTCCGTGCGTGACCAAAGACTACAATGGCGTGTCTTAAACGCTGCGCCCGCCCGGGCGACTTAATCCACCTTTAGCTCTTCCAGTTCTCTAATCGTTCCAGTGATCTATTTGAATACTGTGTCCGTTCCTGTATGCATTGGGGATTAGTAAGTGTGATGTGACGTGATTTCCTCCTTTAATCAAGGATGAAAACCACTTCGATGTAACCATAGTAGAGGTGTCCGATTGTCGGACGAGCCGCACCCAGATCGTGCAAACTGCAAAGTCACAGTATGTCCGTGTTCTCTGGAGGCACTCCGCGTGGGCAATGTGGTTTAGAAAATTTAGAAGAAATGCAAAGCAGGCGGAACGATGAAATTGCTCTGCTTATCCAGAAAAACAAGAGCTTTGGGGGAGAGGGTTGTCACGCGAGCGCACCGCGCGCCCAAATCGGATGGGTTGGGCTGGGCGTTCGCGGTCACCTTCACCTTCCTATGGGCCTGGAGGCCTTGTTTGTCGAGGTTGTTCCCATCGGTTTGGCGATGTGAACAAGTGGGTTGAAAACTTCGGCTCTGTGTTTGCAGGTCCCCCGGACCCCCCGGCCGGCAGGCCGCTGGCCACCGCCGACCCCGCTGGCGGGCTGTGCGCCGTGCTCACCTGGTCGTCGCCCCCCTACGACGGCGGCCGCTGCGTCGACGGCTACCTGGTGGAGGGCCGGACGGAGAGCGAGACCGAGTGGAGGGCCGTGGCGGAGAGGTGAGTGTACAGTACGAGCAAATATACTGGCAAGTGAAGGAAATCAAGACTGGAACGATCGCCGACTTATCAAAACTGGAACGTAAATCGGCATTCAAACGGCAATCACAACCAAAACGAAAAACATTTACCTTCCGGACATATCTTTGTATCGTTATGGTTACAAGGTAATATTTAGATGTCTGAAAGTAATTTCCCTTCGATGAAAGCCCCAGTCCTATTATACCCTTGATGCAACTCAGACCGCGGCT